CGCATTTATAAAATGTTATATCATATTTAACTGAATGCTTCAATAAGATTGATGGATTTTAATTGTTTAAGAACTAGTCAACATTTTTAGCACGTCGTTAATAGTAATGCACATAGCTTACGACGCAATTTATTAGACAGGACGTCCCAAAACGTGCAAAAGTGGGCTGGAAGTAGAAAACCCTATACAGTGTGTACCGTTTAATAAAATACGTATAATAGACGTCGTTAATAATAATATTTAAATATACCTATAATTATTAACGACGCAATTTATTGTATAGGATGGCCCGAAACGTGCGAAATACTTTTTCTATATATTTCAACTTATTGAGACACCCTGTATAATAGATTATGATTAGTTATGCTTACTTAGGCACTGCTATTAACGACGTGCTCTCCGAGCACGTCGCAGTCTATTATACGTATTTTCTTAAACGGTACACACTGTACAGGGTCTTTAATAAGTTTGTAGAATGCTATAATTTTCTATTACCTTTTTTTTTCTAATTTAATTGTTTAGTGTGTTTTAAGAATGATTTAATTTGTTTTGTAGTAATTTGTTTATTGTTATTCTAGTTAAAAAACTTTATTTAACGCTTAATTTTTCAATAAATAAAATTTCTGGCCCTTGCCTAATGTTTGTTAATAAAATTCCTTTCAAAAAGAAACCTACTTAATTAATTTTACTTTTGACTAACCCTGTACATTATCACTTTTAATGAAACATTCTCTATACAGATTAAAAAATTAATATTATATTTATCAGTAGTTTTTTTTATTTAATTTTATTTAAATTAAATATAAGAACAAAAAAAAATAGTAAAATTAAAAAATACAGTGTTTTTTAAATTTAATCTAGTAATTACAGAAATAGGTATATCATTTTAAACAAACAAAAAACTAAATTGTAATTTGGAAAACCTTACCTTTAATATTTATTGTCCCATAATAAAACTTATTTTCATCTGGATACCAGATACCATAGTTTTACGGTTTTAAATTATATTTTGTGGATAAACATTTTTAATTAAACCATTTATTTATTTTCTTCCACACTTTTTAGACAAATTTCAAAACGACTGCGCATCTAATCTGAGTGTCTACTAAAACGCGATAAAAATAGTCCGCCATTTTGCCATCAAAGTCAATAATGTGAGTGTTTTGTCGTTGATCATGTCACAGAGCAATCATAAATCAAAGTAAAATACAAAAAAAAATTAAAGATCATATAAAGAGGGATGTCTTTTTGCTCAGGTATGTACGTTTTGACTTTAAATTAATCACACTTTATCATTGCATTTTTTATTCTCCTTCAATGAGCATGTAGTACGCTTTGTTTAAGCATTAGTGGCATATTTTGAGTTATGCCACTATAGACTCTCATTATCGTTCAATTTACCTAAATGTGCCAACATAGCATTTAACAACTGTGTTCTTATATCAACTGTGACACTTTGATTCAACAATAGTGGCATATATTTTAAATATCACCAGCCAAGCTCATGAAAATTATTCGAATGACATTAAAATACATAATAGTTTAGTATTTAATACAGATTTTTTTCCTTGACCTATATTTTTGAGTTGTACCACTATTGTAGCTGCTGAGTAATATGCAACATATTTAACAGATTTAAAATGTTGGTTGCATACTTTCTGGCTTTGATATCTACATACAATATTGGTTGTATACATTCTGGCATGTGTTGGCGAAATAGCGGCTTATTACGACTTATGCAGTACTTTAAAAACAAAAGTGACACTTTTCCAAAATTACTTAACAAATTAAACTTATATTACTACAAAGACAAAGTTTACTAAAAATACTACTCAGAATTCTTTTGAAAATATTTATTATAGTTTTAATTTATTTGTTAATTAGAAAGGTAAAAAATAAAATAATAATTAAAAAAAACAGACTTAAAACATATATTTTGTATGGTGTCACTTTTGTTTTAAAGGTGCGATACGTATTTTTTTAATCTAGTTGAATTTTTTGTTTAAATCCACAAAATACATTGCATTTTCTCTCTACTTTCTACGAACTTTTTTGCCATATCATTTCGAAAACGTCAATATTATCTAACGACTTTTAATAAGGCTCATAACGAAAAAACTGGACAACGACTCGATGTGCAATTGTTTTAACCATAGTCACACGAATTGAGCATTTTTTAAAAATTCATTAAAATATGCTATTTTTTTTAAAAATCGTACACCATCTTGAAACTTATTTTATGATTGTTCGATGTTTAGAATATTTTTTTATCAAATAATTTTTATTTTATAAGTAAAATAATTTTTAAATATGAAACGGTTACAACACTGCACCAAAATCCAAGACAATAAATTTTATCAAAGGAACTGTTAATAGAAAAAACGACATATTAAACTTAATGTGTTCTTTAAATATAACTTAGAAAAATCTTGTGGTTTTTCCAATATGATTTCTAATACAATTTGCACTTCCAAGTTCTTTAATTCTATTTTTTAGTTAGTATATTTTGTAAAAGTAAGTACATTTATTTGATAATTATTTTCCTGGTGATGACGATGATGATGATGATGATGATGATAATAATAATGACACGTTTTGGTGCAGCAGTGTAACTAATAAAATTTGCAAAAACAGTACTCAATATGCTCACATTAAATATCAGCTGAGAAACCTATTTGATTTATGTTGTTTTGATTAACAAAAATAGGTATTTTTTTATGGGTATTGGCAAGAAACCCACTTTAGGTTCTTAAAGAATATACAATTCGAAAATATCGAGCTCTTAATAGATCAAAAAGCTATATTTTCTTAAAAAAACTCAAAATAATGAATAGTAGTATAATGGGAGTACAAAATGAGCATCCTTTAAGCCATTGATAAAAGATCAATACAAGATCTATACAAAACTAAAGTCGTCAAAGGTTTAAAATTATATCAAAAGAGGTCGAAGTTATTTTAGGTTACCGTAAAATGGGGTGAAATGAAACATTGTGGTGACTTGAAACAAATTGCAGCGCCATCGTTTATTCGGTAGCAAAAATATTAATAGTTATGAGAATCGATAATATATTGTATTAATGCTTTCTGTAGACTACGTACTTCACATAATTCATGTTTTAAAGCGCAGAAGTTTGTTTCTTGACTGTTGAGAATTATTGAAATAAAAGGTAAGAAAATGCACTTTTTAAACTGTCGATTACTTCCTGTGGGGTAGAAATAGTGGGTGATACCCTACGCTATTGATATTTTTTTGTAGTTTAGATATTTATTTGTGATAATGCTCATAACCTTACTTTTGAAATAAAATAAAAATTAAAGCAGTGGCTTGCGACTTTATTTTTTATTGTCATTTCAAGGGTGAATTGAAACATGCCCAGAAAATATGAGAGAACACCTGGAAGCCGAAGAACCCTAAGAAGTATTGGTGAGCAATATGGAATACCATATTATGCTACGTTATATAGAAAATGTAAAACTTTACATTCAAAAAAATATGGCGGACAGACTGCATTGTCGGAAAATCAAGAAATGGTTTTTCTTCGTGAAATTATTTGTGCTTCTTAGTAGACGTTGATCCAGCAGCAATGGTTAACTACGACGAAATTAATTTTACCGATGACCCAGGAAGGGTCAAAGTTATTGTTCGCAGAAAGTCCAAAAGTACCGAAAAAATTCAAGACACCTCAAAATCCGCAACATCTGTTATGTTTTCATGTTCTGCCTCAGGAGTAATGTTGCCTGTCTACGTTGTTTATAAAGCAGACCATCTATGAACCACATGGACTGAGAGGGGTCCAGAAAAAGCTCGATACAACAGGAGTTCATCAGGCTGGTTCGATATGCACTTATTTGAAGACTGGTTCGTAACTACCGCTCTTCCATATTTCAAGACATTGCCACCAGGACCCAAAGTAATTATTGGAGACAATTTAGCTTCACACCTATCACTAAACGTCATACACCTATGCGAATCGAATAACATCAGATTTATTTTACTGCCACCCAATAGCACACACGTAACTCAACCGTTAGATGTGTGCGTGTTTAGGCCTATAAAATAACAGTGGCGAAAAGCTCTTCAAGCATGGAAGAGGCATAACAAGGGTGTTGTAAGAAAAGACGTATTTCCTAGGCTGTTGAATCAAGCTCTGCAGAATACAGAAGCCAATGAGAAAAATATAAAAGGTAGCTTCATGGCTACTGGCCAAGTTCCTTTGGATAGAGAGAAGATTCTTAAAAGGCTTCCGAAAGAAAATGAAAATATAGAACAACAAGCTGTTGAAGACAACATTGTAATATCGATGTCCGAGATATTTCAAAATGCACGTTACGGAAATCCTCAGGAACCATCTACTTCGGGAAAAAAGAAAAAATTGACAGTTGCACCAGGTGAAAGTATTTCCTACGACCAACTAAAGGAAAAAGAAAAGGAGAATGTTCTGAAACCAAAGGTTAAGAAAAGAAAGACAGTTGGAAAGGAAAGGGCCAAGCAAGATACACAAAAGAAAAACGATTATACGCTCCCGGAAGAAGAACAAGATACAGAAGAAATTTCTAATGGCGAACAAAGTGTTCTCTCAGAAGTTATTAACAATAATGAAAACGAAAATGGCGAGGAAAATTTTGGAACAAGAACAATTCCTCTAGTTGGAGAATATGTGGCTGTAACATTAAAGACAACCAAGGGCACCGGTAAAAATTATGTGGCCAAAATTTTATCGGAAGAATCTGGTTCCTATGTTTGCAAAAATTTCTTAGACGTTCTCAAAAAAGTCACGATATATTCATTTTTCCGGCAATTGAAGACATCGGAATTGTCTTACAAGAGGAAATTAAAGAAGTGTTAAAATCTGTAGAGACACTCAGAAGAGGAAGTTTACGCATCAGGGGTCTATCTTTTAAGCCATAAAACTTTTATTATTATAAGAAAATAAGTTTAGTTTTTTGTTCTGTATTTTGTTAGTCATAAAACTTTTACAAGAAAATAAGTTTAGTTTTTTGTTCTGTATTTTGTAAGTCATAAAACTTTTATTATTAGAAGAAAATAAGTTTAGTTTTTTTTGTTATGTTCTGTTAATTGAATAAAGATTTTTAAGTTGTGCAACTTTGTTTAAAAAATATTGTGGATGTTGGTAGCAATTTGGAAGTGTTTAAACTATTTATTTTATTGTTTCAAGTCATCCCAAGTCTAGCAGAATTGAAACTATAATCGAAATATATGAATGTTTCAAGTCACCCTAACTTTGGGATGACTTGAAACAACGCTTATTTATTTTTTTTATAATTTATGGTGGGGGTAACCCTTCTAGCAATGTCTCGAATTTGTTCTTTATGATCCAAAGTTTAGCTGACAATTTTTTTTGTTGCCTAATTTCTTAAAATCCTTAAATTACAGCTCTAAATAAGTCAAAATTGTTTCAAGTCACCCCATTTTACGGTATGTTCAGGGCCACATCAGAACAGTTTCTTTAAAGTGGTCCTAAGTTAGGTTTAAAGTAATATCATAAAAGTTAAATTCCATTTGTGATCATAAATATCTTAGTATTCGTTCGACTCTCTGAGAGTGCAGTTGACTATTTCAAAAGACGGCTCGGAATCTAGGTCAAGATCAATCGCGTATGATTGCTAAAGTTAAAGTTTAAAAGTGTACCAATAAAAATAATTTTAAAATGTGTGGAGAAAATCAACGAAACCGAATTTTCTGAAGCGCAAAAAACCATGATACAGAAGAATCAAACTAGAATGGCAAAAACAGTTTGCGATGACGCAAAAATATAGAGATATACTCTCAAAGAAAGAATCAGCTATTCAGTGGTTGACTAAAGAATTGCAGGAAATGCAATTAAGAATACAACAAATGGAAATGATGTTAGGTATGCAAAAACAACAACAGCATATCGAAACAGACTCAGAAGAAGAAATAGTCAATAAAGAAACAGTTCGGATAGTACGAAGAAGCAAAATAAATATCGAAGAAATAACGAAAAATGCGAGAATCTCCTGAAGTGTCACCTCAAAACACAACCAAAGAACAATACAACGAACAAAAAGAAGCACAATTAAACCACCCAAAGGAAAACGTTCAATAAAGTATTGCAAATGTATGTGTCATTTTATAGTAATAAAAGCGCACTTAAAGTCATTTAAAATTTTAACACTTCTGAAGGATGCTATTTTCTTTCAGGACATTGGCGAGCTGATATACAGCTTCTGTATGCATGATGGTCATAGTAAGGCCTAAATGATGTGGTATCCCACCTTTTAGAACAAATTTGATGCCAAGACGACTGTAGACTTTGTCAAAGTTGACTTTGAATTTTTCTATGATGACTTGAGAATGACTCAATGATCTCCGCTTTTCGTAATATTACATACTATGGGGGTTTTAAGAAAATATATTATTTGTACCTTCTTATTTTACATTATGAATTTGTTACCAAAGCTACAGGTTGTCCAAAAGTTAACAGAAAATAATAAAAATTTTTATATATCTAAAATATTTGATCTTAAAATTTATTTAAGCATCAGTTTTAAAAAGGAACGAAATAATGAAACGTTTCCTGTTGTTTTAATACATTTTTTCCCCGCAATATCTTCATTTGGTATTAAATATTAGACCACCCTTCTGGCTACTTCATTCTGTTAGAACTATTTTCATTGATGCCTGTTCTGTAGGTACAGACAGATCAGATTTGTTGTATTTTCCTCTTCTTTTCTCGCTAGTCACGCCTTGTAATTTTCCGATGCTGCTGCTTTTACGTATTTCAGGTTTCGCACTTTTTACGGGTTGCAGAAGAGGAGACGTAGCTCTGGGGGAATCGTCTTCGCTATCGAAGCTATCTGAAGGGCTTACGGTTCGTTCGCGTTTCTTCAAACTCTGTTCCAGTCTTCTTAAAAACCTGCAAATTACAGAATTTAGTCTTTAAGGCGTGAGTTAAATTGCATTTAACACAGCTATATAAGGCCAAAGAGCTAAGATTTGGTAGACATTTTTGAGATAAATCAGAGCAGTTGCTGACATTGTTATATTATAATTTTAATAATAAAATGATCATAATAATAGCAAACATTTTTATTTGAGATTTTATTGAAATTGAAAAAGCATGTTTTAAGGTTGAATAAGCGCTGTTGCCAACGTTTGCTCTAAGACAGTTGTTCTCAGATTTATTTTGCCCACTTCGAGAACAAACATTTTTGTAACGCTCCCAAATATCGGAGTAGGTATCTGAAACACACCTGTAACTGAACATAAACAAAAAAAATAATAGAACTTAATATAAAGTAATTATTAAAGTATTAATTAAAACCCCCTAGACCCTAGACCCTCTTAACGCCCCCCATTTTTCCCTAAGCCTTCTACCGCCCCCTTAAAGACCTCCAGCGACCCCAAGAGAGCGCTATCGGCTACTTTAAGAACCACTGCTCTAAGAGAATATTTTTCTTCCCCAGGAATATGTTCATATCTTACCTTATTTGATGACTGATTGCTCGCAATCGACTGAACTTTTGATGGCTGCCGTATGGAACTTTGGAAAAATCCGGCGACTGGGCCAAAGGAAAAGATTCGGTAGATTGTATTTCCTAAAAAAAGAATAAAACATTAGATAGTTAATATTTTAATCTTTCCTAGCTCTAACCTGATACAATTGCTTTCCGGACTTGGTATACTTCTCACCCAACCACGCCACCGGCGATGACCACCTGATGGTGTCCGGACTGGGACTAGACGAAGACAACCTCACTTCCTTGGTCGTCGAAGTGATGCTATCGGAACTCGAAGAAGAACTAACTACTTGAGAGCGGTTTATTCTACGTTTAGGACTTAATTTTCTAGGAGGCGGCATTTTATACATATCCTTATTCGGTATATCTAAGTAACTAAATAGAGAAGGATGCGTATTTTTAGTAGGACTAGGAGTTTTGCAATTACGTAAAAGTTTCTTTTCTCTTTTCCTCCCTGGCTTCTTATGGTGCGTACAAGAAGTTATGTTAACTTTATCTGAACTAGGAAAATCGTATAAACCATCCGAATCAGTAAAAGGAAGTAAATCTTTATGCTTTCCGTAAAACTGCGGGGAGAACCTGCCCAATCCGAGAGTACGGTCGCTCAAAGGACTTTCACTCCTGGAACTCATTGGACTGAGATGTTTTTCGCAGCCAGGTGATTCGCATTGTACTATAATCGAAGGCAGTTGTAGCGAATTTTTGCTACAAGACGACACCGGTGGTAGTAATCGATCAACGGTTTCCTCTAGAGTAAAGGAATGTGCAGCAACCGGTGGGGTTATTGGTATATCAACCAATTTACAAAAATCCCCTTCGTTTACCATAAAAACTTCCAGTTCTTTAGCGCTTTTCAACTCCCCTTCATCAATTTTTTCGTCTATGTGATCAGTACCGATGCCTTCGTCATTTGATTCGACCAGAGGATCATCTGACAGCGTTTCTGAATCGGATCTACCGCGACGTTGCTCGTTTCTGCCTTGCTGTATGCTACCAGCATTACTAGCATTCGGTTTTAACACAGGAGTCAACGATTGTCTTCTGTGAAAACCACCTGGTCCTTGATCGTCCATTTCAGAAGGACATAACGGGTTGTTTGAACTACAACGCGACGGTCCTGGACTTGCCATCGAACTATAACCAGAGCTGCTTAAATTACTTTCTGATGCAGTATGCTCTCCTTGCGAAGTTATCGAAAACGGGCTCAAATAAGTCATTCCAGACGTATTGCTCTGCAACCCTCCCGAAGATTTTATCGCTGGCGATATTGATTCTGCATCAGATTCAATCTCGCTCATATTGCAAGTGATGGTTATCATTGGAGGAGTGCACGGTAGATCTAAAGATGTCGGTTTATCGAAGTCTTTGAGCATTTTTCGCGATTGTTTCGGTGAAGGGAATTGGAAATAGGAGGTGTTTGGTATGGAGGCTCTGTGAGGCGGTGGAGAGCCCGGGAAATTGTGACAGGAGGCTTTGGGGAATGTCGGTGAAGGAGTTTGTACTATTAAGGTTGGAATGACGAGAGGCGGGGGGTCGATGGTGATAGTGATGGCGGGTTTGCTTCGTTCTTGAGATTGGCCGATAGGTGGAGGTCGAGTCTAAAAATAATTAAATAAAGAATAATAATAGTATTACGTAAATAGGTTTAGAGTTATGTTTTAGTTAGGTATTTTGAGCGTAATTGACTAATTGAGCTGTTTAAGAGCGATAATTGTTCCAGTTTTGCTCTAAAATTTTATTTTTTATAATGAACACGTTTTTAGTAATATTAAGTAGAATAATGTGTTTTAAATGTTTTTTATCACAAGTTTTTCTTATTTTGGATGACAAAGGAAACTGGGGAATATTATAAAGCTTATTTTCAATCACTTTTAATGACAGACGCGAATATTGTGACTATATGTCATTTTGACAGTTCAGGTAGTTGTGTATAATGGACCTTAGAGGTAGGAAAAAGTTAGGTGCTGGAGAGGATATTGAGTTGGAGAAAGAGACAATTGAGGAAGTAACAGGTGGTAAAGCACAGTTACCAGAGATAGAAGATAAAGTGATGAGTATGTTGGCTATAATGATGAAGGAGATTAGGAAAAATAAGCAAAATTTAAGTAACAAGATGAATTAAGATAGGGAAAATTTAAGTAAAAAGATGGATATGTTAGTAGAAGAAGTTAGTAGTAAAGTAGAAGATATTGGTTAGATAATACTAAAACTGAGCTAAGGCTCGTTAAAATTTGAAACAGATAGGAAGTTGGAACAGAATAAGAAAGATATTAGGGAAGAGGCAATTGGTAGAATAGATGAGATAGAGAAGGTACAAAATGATAAGATCAGGAGATTTGTAGGGATGGAAGTTAATGGTAAGTTAGTAAAGGTGCAGGAAGCCGTAGATTTGGTTAGAAAAATATCAGAGAAAAGAGTTAAGGGGGTAGAAGATAGGATTCAAGGGATGGCAAATACAGGTATAGTAAAAAGTGTAGGCGTTTTTTAAGGAGGAAGGATAGAGAATAGGTTTGATGGGGATATATTCAAAATTGTAAGAAATGGAGTAATAAATCTTAATATTGTTGAGGACATAAAGGAATATATCAGGGAATCTTTAGATAACAACGTTTTATTATAGTTTTCTAGTAGGGAGAAAGAATTTATGTCACATGAGGATTTTGAAAAGAGTTTTTTTAGATTGTTATTGGTGGGAAGTTGTGCAATCAAACGTCAGGGAAAATTTATATTTTGGAAAGTTTGATCTAGGAAGAATATGAAGTATAGTCAGTATACTTTACAATTATTTAGTACTGCACAGTATTTGGATCCACCAATGAAAGAGGAGAAAATCATTTATTATACTGCGAGACATTTCAAGTTTGAAAAGACAGAAACGTTTTACCAAACATGAAAGACATGAATATGTTAAATAAGTTGAAAGACGAGGGGTGGAATACAATGAACTAATGGATAATCAGAATAGATATAGATGACCTGGTCAGGGTTTCCAGGAATAGGGGGATCATAGAAATGAAAGTGGTAGGTCGTTTAATAATAGATAAAGGTTAGATAATTAAAGGAATTACAGAAATCAACAAAGAAATAATAATAGTGAACAAAATATAAGAGTAAATAATATACAAGTGACAGGAGTAGAGGAAACAAAGAAAGGACAGGAAGATATACATTTTTAGGGATAGTGCAGATAAATTAAAAGAAGATATTTGTAGGTATGAACATCCTAGGTAGTTCATCAAATTGGGGGAAAATTTTGAAAGGAGTTTGGAAGTTTCAACTGGGTTAATATTTGTAAAAGGTAAATTAGGGAAAAGCATTGTTAAGATTCTGATTGATACAGGATCAAAGGCATCTTTAATAAATAAAGAGTTAATAGGTATTGATAATAGATTTGTAATGAAAGTACCAAAAATTCAGTTGGTAGGTGCTAATGGAAAAAAAATATATGAAGTAGGAAAAACTGTCATTCTAAATATTGAATTAGGGGTAACAACAAAAATAGAAAGTCAGTTATTAATTGTAGAACAATTTAAAAATGATCTGGTGTTAGGAGCGAATATTTTGTATAAATTGAAATTGTGATAGATTTTGAAAATTTAGAGTTAGGAATTTAGGATAGCATTTGACATGGCAAGGAATTTAAATAGATAAATAGGATATGATACATAGGTGAATGTATAGGAAATTAAAAATAATGAAGTAGATGATACATCAATATAAATCACGGTATCCAGTTCCATACGTATTCTAATTGATGAATAAAAGAAAAATTTGTGTCTCATTCACCAAGTGAATTGCTGTGTACCTGAATTGACAATAAGTTTAAGATAACTACCAGTTGATATAAAGATTTGATCTATTGAAAGTTCTGAAAAGACATGTCAATGTAATTTGACAGTTTATAAGTATTTAAATAATCTAAATATTACACAGTGGCGGATCGTAGATGTTAGCAGCAGATGTAGAAGATAAAGAAGTGGAAATTATATTATCATTTTAGAAATAGAGATTTGAATTTGCGGTTAGAAGATTGCTGTTTTGAAGATTTCTTATTTTACAAAATTTAACATTATTTTAGATAATTGAAACACAACCTCAAAGGAAGTATCTTTCCTGGTGCTCAAGCTAGCCAAGGACTGATCAGTTGTTTCATAAAAACTGCTGCTATAATTATGATCGATCTATTATAACGTACCTTAGATCTATACAAAGAATGCTGTAAAGCTGCAGCTTCCTCCAGTATAAGCCCGTCCTCAGCCTGTAAGTCAATAGCTATATCAGAACAGTGAATCTCTTCGTCATCTATATCGGTACTAGTAGAAATATTAGGAATCTCCACCGATATCCGATCGTCACTCAGCTCAGCATCATCCATAGAAGAAGACGGATTACTACGCCTACTAAACATAGGCGTCAAAGCGGGCGAAGGCATGGGAGAAGGAAGAGGCGTAGGCATTTCTCTAATAGGCGAAAGGCACTTATTGATTGTGCTCGGTATTTCCAGCAAAATAGTCGGCGGATGCAGCAAATTGCTACCACCTGCGTATGATTTATGTGCGTTCATAGCATCAAGCACCGGCACCTCTATGGTGCTCTGCTGCTGCATAATCGGGCTCTCTAAGATACTGCTAGAGAACGATACGGGTGTATGAATCGAAGAAGTCGATGAATCATCGTCCCCTACCATATCGTCTTGAGGGCTCGAAGCAGTCGGAGTTGTAGACGGCGTGATCCTCAGCGAAGACGGGCAGTAGGCAGCTGAAGAAGTCGAAGAGAAATTCCTGAACATCGCTAGTATGGATTCGGCGCTAGCAGGTTTCTGTCGGCCGTTGGGTAGTCTGTTGTGTCTCCTGTTGATCAGCAAATCTGAAATACTTGTACTCAAAGCACTGGGAATAGCTAGATCAGAGCTAGTGAACGAATCACTACCTTGATTGCTAGACATGCTGTTTGGAGATCTGGTGTCCACGCTCGGTGAAGGTGGGGTGCTGGCGGGCCTGGCGAACATACAACCTAACCTGTTGGTTTGCATGATTCCAAGTTCCACTTCGCTACCGCTGCTCATCTCCGCGGACACTTTGTTTAACAGTCTAGCGAACGTTACTTTTTTCTCCAGCTTCGGATCTATCAAAGCCGTTTGGGCTGCGTTTTCGATAAAATTGGTTTTGGAAGTGGTTTGATTCGATTTAGTTTCGTCGTCTGGTTTTAATTCGCTGAGTTGGATCAGTTCGCCCAAACTAACTTTTTTGGAGTTTGGTTTGGGGGATACTAGCTGTTGGAGTATTTGCCTTTTGTCGGCGATGGTCTTTTTCGTTGGCGTGGAGTTGTTTCGTTTCTTTTTGGGCGAAGGTGTTCCTAGGAAGGTCGAAAAATATTATTTTTGGTAATAGTTTATAATTTTAAATTTGTTGCACTTGTTAAATATTATCAAGTGCTATATATAAAATACAAACTAAGAATGTCACAATTATTTTCAAAATAAATGTTTTAAAATTGTTAGTAGCACCGAAAATTTCTGCAAATATAACAACAATCAAAGTACATCGAAAAATAAATCTAGTGTAAAATTAAAAGTCAAAAATTGGCAGTGCACTATTGCCGCTTTGACAAAAGTCTTGGAATCTGATGATTTTCTAATTTCCAGTCTGCATACCATAAATTAAAGAACATAAAGTCCACATAATGCAATATTTTCACAATAACTATCTATCTGGAGCAAAGTTAAGCAAAACATGTAGCAAGTACTTCCAAGTGACGACTTGGTCACTTGTTGGAAAAAGAGTACAGCAAAAAGGAGATTGATGCTACCATCTATCAAAAGGTCTCTAACATTGGGATTACACTTGCAGCAAAAGAATATTTAAACATTTTTAAGCCTATATCAGTAGTGGTTGATAATTTTTAGAAGCAAGATACTATTATTTCAGGTGCTGTTAGGAGATGAAAACATTTACGTCATAATATTGGAAGATGTAAAAGTTGGACCCACAAAACCAAAAATACAAGTTAACATCCCAGGAAAAGAGTCTAACTTTAAAAACAATTAATGAGCAGTACAGTATAAGAACATTATATTATTTGTCTTGCTGTACCTTTATTTATGGAAAGCCTGAATTAAGATACACTAAAAATTATTTCCAATAAATATCAAAAGACATCTTGATACTTGACAGGCACAGCCAAGCATTATTCTGCGTTTGGCCAAACAAAATAGCCGGTTAATTATTCTATGGGGTTCCGACAGAAAGCCAGTAAATTTGATGAAGGTGTTTTTGTGACTAGGGGCGAAATAGTAGTACGCTTATGTTAGCACCACCATAAAAAAGTCATTTTTAAGAAACTGCTTATATATTTTTCATAAATTGGCAGGCTTGGCGACTAATTTTAAATAAAAATAGCCTTCAAAATGGCTATGGTTGCAAGTATGAAGGTCGCAACCCGCCTTAGAAATTTCACCTTTACCATCAACAGCTGTTGTTTGAGAGGTCGTTAGAGAATGTTTGCAATTTATGGAATGTTGAGAATGTTAGGAATGTTGACGTTAGAAATAATTGGAATAGGATGAACCGAAAATTTTGAAAATCAATAGGGTTCTAAGTTAGAAGTAATTATTTTCGTACTCAGAATGATCAGAAACATGAAAAAAAGTTTTAAAAAATGGGTGTAAAATTTTTTTTTTGTCTGCACGAATGCAACACTGAGGCCTCATAGGAAGGGCCTCAGTAATTTTGTATTACATTTTAAATGAAAAAAATCAAGATTTAAATAACTTGACCCTTCTATAGATATATTTTTTGCAAAATTTGTTTAATTCATTTTTCAATTCGTGCTTTAATTCATGTTTTAATTCACGTGTTAATTCATGTTTCAATGCATTATTCAATTCATGATTCTATTTATGATTAAATTCATAACTCAATTAATGATACAATTCATGATTCAATTCATGTTTCAATTCATGGTCATTTTAAATATATTTTATTATTATTATTTTTGTATATTTTTTTTTTAATAAAAAGTTTATATGTAAAAATTAAGATTTTGATAATGATGGATTTAAATAACTTGACCCTACTATATATAGGTATATTTTTTTGCAGAATTTATTCAATTAATGTTTCGTCATTTAATTCACGTTTAATTTAAATTCATGTTTTAATAATTTATGATTCAATTCATGTTTTAATAATTTATGATTTAATTCATGTTTTATATTTCTTTTAATAAAAAAAAGTTTGATTTGTATCAAGATTTTAATTTAACCCTGCTTTATATAGATATATTTTTTATGCAAACTTTGTTGGTGGTACTTTTGTAAAAATTATCAATACATGAAAGCATTCTTAGTCTTTTTTTAATAATTATATGTTTCTATTTACAAACAACAGTAATATACATAGTGCTGTACATTTAATTACATTGATTTAGCTCTATTGTGCAAATATTTATAGTACTGTGTAACCTACCAGCCACACGCAGAAATGTGAAGGGAAATAGTTCTACAACAGAGAAGAACAGAAAAAGTATTAAAGAATATAGTTTCAAATAGGCAATTCACAAAATATTTAATTTCGAGTCTGGTATACTATTTTCTATTGACGCTTCATAAATTTTAGCTTCTATAAATAAATTATTAGTTTTTTAATCTTATAATTAAGATTTGTGCAGAGATTGAAGTAGCCAATGATCAAATTTAAAATGTCCTTATGACTGCCTCCATGGTGGAGCAAAAATTTGGACCAAAAAAGGAAAGAAGTTCGACATCTATTCAATCGAACTAAAGAATTAGGTTGCTGAGACAAATACCGCGACTTCGTAACGAAATACAATAAGGCCATCAGAATCGGGAATTGTGGAGGAAGTTTTTTCAGAGAATATCAGAGCACCAGACTTCACAAGATTCTCGACAAAGAAGTCGGCTCGGTAAGAAGATCCTACACTTATACGGACTCTGATAAGGAAACGTTAGAGATTCTTTTATAGAAACACTTCCCAGGAAGTCGAATTCTGGAGGATAGGCAACCTGTACTCGTTCCTTATAGGGAATCGAATATACAATCCAAGAAGGAGGGCTGGAACTATGTTGAACAAGTTGTCTCTTCAAGTGCCGTGAAATGAGCAATGAATTCATTCTCCCCTTTAAAATCACCCAGAGAGGATAGCATATTTCCTGCTCTTCTACAGAAAGGGCAAGAATCCTTGCTATCCCTCCTCGTGAGACTGTTCAGAGCAAGCTCAGCGTGGAGGTATATCCCGCAAGGGTGGTCCATGGTGTATGTACACAAGGCTCGTAGAGTAGATATCAAACTCCTATCGTCCAATCTAACATCTTTTTTTGGAAGTTACTAGAGAAAATTATCTGGTTTGGAAACTATGTTCCAGATCTTTGGATTTACTCTACTTTAAGCAAATTTCACCCAATCTAATTATGTCCTTCATCAGAAGATGTGGCTTGTACAATGAGCTTAAGACATGAGCCACGATAGATCCTCTGGTTCATAGTGGAAAGCGATAACATCATTCCACTTATTTTCAACCTAACCTAATCTATCCCGAACAAAGTTGTAACCAACAATCTTTCAGAATATTTTTCCTATAATATAAGACTTTCATCTTAATATTTATTTTTCATACGCGTAGGGTAAATAGGTGCATTTTCTGTGCTTAAGTAAAAATCCACATTCCACACTCGATCATCCATTGTCCAAATAACTTTGTGAATTGCCTATTATTGAGTACACAAGAGATACGAGGTAGAGGTGTGAAAAGGGAGTAGCAGATACAAAAAAAGAAGAGAGTGAGTGACAGGACAGAGCCTCCAATGGGGCCTTACGTCTCGGGGGTTTTAATAAATCGTCCAAACTAAAAGTGCGGCCGGTGGCGACCTCGTAGCCGCTGGCGCTCGCGTGTGGGCTGGTCAGGCTCAGAATTGACGGCTTTCGAATACCCAGTCGGCCGAAAATCGAGCGCGAAGACGGTCCTGATGCCTGGCTCGGTGTGGTCGCCGCTCCTGCCGCCGAAGCTGCGGCCAGCTGTTCCCGGACTGATGAACTGCGCAGCGCTGATACTAGAAAAGAAAGCGGTTTGCAAAACTGAAATGTTAAATTCGATAAAATTATCTATACCTGTTCTGTTCCTGCTGTCTTCCTCTGCGAGAAGCTTTTCAATTTTTTCAGGAAAATGCCTTTTTGCGCACCAAACTAAGCCAATCACTCCCATCACTACGAAAACCGTCATCAAACCCAACCAGAATGGTTCGTGGAGCATCCTTTCACTCAGAGGTTTGTAAGGGATATGTAGCATCCTCTTTTCACACCTGAAACATAAAAATCTATATTTTTTTATACTATTTAACATAACAACTCAGTTAGTCCAATCCCTATATTTTAGACACGATAAGAATGATAACTGAGAGGCGACCAGGTGGCAGCAATTTTTACTCACTAACTTTGGCCAATTTTAAAAAAATCATTAAAAAGACATTAGAAGCTCAAATTTAGGTATTATACTCAGAATGGAACTATTAAGGGATTCATGTATTTTCATCATGATATTTTGAAATTTAAAGCTACTTAATTTATTTTCTCGGAAACTGGAAAGAATTAAAATTTCCAAATATATGCATATCTAGATAACATTATCTAATTTATTTTTCCAAAATTTTAATTTTCTAACATAATTACTTTTGGAGATATCCTTGTCCGAAAATTATAAAAGTACGAATCAATTAGCACAAATCTTACCTTTGTCCTTCCCACCACGCGTGACACTGGCATTGAAAATTATCCCCCTTTTCGATGCAAATTCCTCTGCTCTCGCACGGATTGCCCTCGCAAGGCTTACGTTTCTGATCGCACATGACACCGACGTATCCCGCTTTGCAATGGCATTTGTAACTCGATTCCGTTAGTTCGCAAGTTCCAAAAGCGCACGGTTCTAATTCGCATTTCGTTAGAGCGCAGAAAAGACCTGGAATCAATATTAATATATTCGTTAAAACAATATTTGAGGATGTAGTAAGTTTGTCTTTTATTTCATTTCGAAAATAATGGCGATTCCAAAAACGCAAAGATACTAGGCATAACATTTTAATTTGCGTTTGGATGATATTTCCAAAGCGCCAGCTTACTCTACAGGCATAAAAAATGGACAGTAATAAAGAAAAATTGACGTATTCATACGTAAAGATCGTGAATTTACTTAGGATTAGTAGTAGTACCAATTCTTAATAATAGGGTCACCTTAAGAAGAATTAAGGATCATGCCACATGATTAGCAAGGAAAAAAAAACACCTTTTGGACATGTATCTTCTATTTGAGTAACAACATTGATTGTGACAAACCTTATTTAAGATCAAGGTGGGGTAGTCACCTTAAGATAGACCAAGATCGCCCACATCAAAAGGTAACTGTCTCGCTGATTCACTAACCAAGAAGGTAAACAATCAAAAACTTCTTCGACTAGATCTTCTTGGACTAGATCTTCTTGGACTATCTTCTTGAACTAGATCTTCTTGGATTAGATCTTCTTTGACTAGATTTTCTTGGACTAGATCTTCTTGGACTAGATCTTCTTGGACTAGATCTTCTTGGACTAAATCTTCTTGGACTAGATCCTCTTGGACTAAAAAACCTAATTAAAGAGGCAGAACGGTCCAGAGCTCTCTGCGAACTTTTAAATCTCGCCGACAACACTTTAAATTACAACTAGACAGAATCTGCGCCTGATCATTGTTATTACTAAGTATGCAAGAACCTCCAGCACATGAAACTATGAGAACAGAAGACAAAATTAACGAACATGTCCTCTAAGATGACTCGACACTTTCAGCTATTAGGAAAATTGTTTTCAGCAAGTATTAGCTGACATCGATCAACATAAGAGATGCGCTTCTCGTCAACATCGTGCAGTACAAATTCTGCAGGTTGGCTGATGAGCTAAAAGGTGCCTCAATGAGGCCTAAGTGGTGTGAGATGCAGATCGTTAAAAAGTGAAACAAATATATTTACATTCAAGACATAGTGGACACTAAGAGTCAATAATACATAATCAACAACAACTCTTGTTCAAAACTTATATGTTTGAACAATAATTCTAGGAGTAAAGGAGCTCACTGCACAATGTTGGGTCGATCACTAGTATGGCTAAATTTTTAAGGGGAATTTAGCCTTACTAGTGATCAACCCAACATTTTGCAATAGGCTTCCATTCTATACCACATATAAGAAAGTTTTACATACCTGTATAATATCCGACACACTGACAGTACTTTGTCGAATTCCTAACAATACATTTCCCACCATTTTGACACGGATTCGGCAAGCACGACTCAACCTTCTTATCCTTGTAATTCTTCAACTTGACCCTATAGTTCGCGTCGAATTGAACTTTAAGCGTCCCATTGAAAAGTATCCCATCGACTCCATGCAACTGTCTCACATGCAAACTGTTCAAATACGAAGAAATATATATCGGAGCTGAAGGTGCTAGGGAATCCTGCGCATCTCTATCGAAACACAATTTCCAAGTGGTTCCGTTGATATCCGAATAACTGTCTGATATTTCTATGAAGCTGGATTGATCTGAGCAGTCGATATCGGCTATCTTCATGTTGTACAGCTCCAGGAGAATGTTGTTACCCAATGGGGCGATGAAGTATTGTAGGAAATCAACGTTTGAAGGTGGTTGATCTGGGTAATTTAGATGGAGCAATAATCCTGATGTGTGGTTTCCTAGAGTTATAATTTTATCTTCTTTAACAACGCTGGTTATTCTGTAGGCTGCTCTAAAGCCTGGACCCAAAGGGTGATCACCTGTATGTATTTGCAGCTTCATTTTCTCATCGACTGACACGTAGCTGCCTTCTGTTAACAAATTTTCAGTCTCAAAAGTTTTATGTACAGCAGCTCGTTTGCCTAGCTTAATTTCAACAAAAAAATCTTCAGATTGGCTCTGGATATCCACCAAACTACCTTCTTCGGGAAAAAATTCCAACCAAATCCTCTTACCACTCGGTGCTAGAATAGTTATAGTGCAATCTAGATGGGCTAATAAGAATTCTGGATAATTAGGAGTAATCAAAATGCCTTCTTTAGCCGTTAGGGTCTGCATTGGACACGCTGATACATCCACAGCATACCAAATTAAAGAAAATCCTTTATCAGATATCGAGTAATCAGAATGGAATTTTATTTCCACTTCGTTAGTTTCTGAAACGAAATTAAACCTGTCCATATCCCTTTCGTGATTCCCACACAGCATTATCATATCGTTCAAAGCGACGTTGCCATTTTTATAGACCGATTTTAATTGGATGTAATCGTAGAGGCATTCCAACTGGGATTCGATGTGAATGTTGATGAATTTAACGATGATTCTGGTTTTTTCTGGACCCGTGATCCGTATGAAGTAGTCCAAGTTGTGGTAGTAATTATTGGGGTAGTTTGGGGATGTTAGCGAGCCTTCGGTACCGTTGATCGTTTGGTTGTAGTTGACTCCGAGGTTCATCATTTGGTGTTGTTTTTTGCAGACGTAGCCGCCTGTGAAAAATGTTATTTGTTAATGAGGTTGTCTGAATTAGTAGATTATGAGATTTTGTTAACCGGTGAACTTGGTTTTTGAAGCAAGTGCAAGACCAAAGTATCGTCAGTGTATAGAAAGCAATGTGACGATGGGTGATTTGGGAGAGGAAGATCGTGGGTGTATATCAGGTATAGGAGAGGGGCTAGGACTATGCCTTGTGGTACTCCTGCTGGAGGAATGAGTTAGACAAGGCGTTGCCTATTTTGATTGTGATGGTTCTGTCTGTGAGGTAGGAGTGGATGAGTTTGGTGATATTGATGGGGATACCTATGTTCATAAGATCATAAGAACGGCTGATTTGAATTCACTGCTGTGACAACAGCGGTGACTGTGCAGTGAAGTGAAGGCGTTCTGAGTGGAGTAATGGGGTCTAAAACCATGTTAGATTGAGGTATAATGTTTCTTTTTTCACAAAACTCCCAGATTCTCTTCTAGATCAAAAGTTCAAGGAGTTTATGTTGTATAGATATGAGAGAAATAGGACGATGTTTGAGGCCTTCCAAGTAAGGGACAAGTATAATATGGACGAAGGAAGTAGGATGAGATTAAGGAACGGTTTCAGGAAGTATTCAGCGATTTTCTGTTAATATATTGTAATATTATAATGCATTCTAAATAAAAGTAGGGAAGGTAGACTCATTTTGAATGCTTTCATTAAATTTTTATTTTGGTCCTCCGAAGGTTAGGTTACATTTTTAGAATTCAATTTTCAATATTTTTTTCAAATACTTTTTTCTAGAGGCATATTATTTGGAGTATTTATTATTATAGAAAATAATTTTTTGAAAGAAATAAAATATGTTTATTTTTAGTTATGGTGGAAAGTTTGTTATTATCTGAGTTAAATTCAGTCGAAACTATATTTTATCACAAAACTCATCACTTTGTTATTTCCGCGCAAAATGTTCATGTTTCTGAGCCGCTTTTGTACAACTTTTTAATAGGGTAATAAAAGGCACTCTATTTGATAACATTTTCCAAATTTACCAGATTGGTTACAGAAAAATAAAATAAAGAATATTTGTTGGACAGCCATTATGGATTTTTATAATCTAGTGAAAAAAAAAAGACTTCTAGGGAAATTAATCTATTTTGCGATGTTTCCATCTTCAGCCAACTTTTTTCCCCAGATTTGGGGATGAATGAGGGAAAGTTAAAAGTTTAAGAAAATGACTAAAGAAAAATTGAAAACAATTGTTTTTAGTGATTTTTTGTAACCCACAAGAGTAATGCAGACTGAGTTGGTGCCATGTCTGGACAGCCATTTTTAATTCTTTAGAATCTAGAGAAAGATAAAACATTTCTTGGGAAATTCACCTATTTTCGGTATTGTCATCCTCTTTATATCTTAAACTTTTTCCCCAGATCTGGAGAAAAACCAGGGAAGTGGAAAGTTTTAAAAAATTGACTACACAAATTTAATTTTAGGATTCTTATTACTCATATCTCCATTCTTTCCTTTTAATTTAAACGCAATTACTAGGTTATGCATATTAAGTTATCTCGACATCCTATTTGGATAATTAGAAAAATAAAAGACACTTCTGGGGAAATTATTATATTTTGTGCTGTTGGTATCCTCTTTATGTCCCCAGATCTGGGGAAAAATCACTGAAAGTGGAAGGAATACAAAAAATGAATAGTGAAAAATATAAAACGATGTTTTTAGTAAAAAAATATGGTATTTTAGGATTCATCTTAAATTTAAATTTAATTATTTGAGTAATGCAGACTGAGACTTATTTCCATGTCTGAACAGCCATTTTTAATTATTTAAAATTTAAGGAAAATAAAACCTTTCTAGGAAATTTACTTATTTTTCGGTGTTGCCTTGTCCTGAACTTTTTTCCCCAGATCTGGGGAAAAATCAGGGAAAGCGATGCAAATTTAGGTATTGCCATATCTGGACATCCTATTTGGATAATTAGCAAAATAAAAGACATTTCTAGGGAAGTACACTTATTTTGCAGTGTTGGCATTCTCTTTATGTCCCCAAATCAGGAAAAAAAAAATATCACGAAAAGTGGAATTATATCCATCTCTAAATGTAATTACTAATAGATGTTGCCATGTCTGGACAGCCATTTTTGATTGTTTTAAATCTAAAAAAAATAAGACATTTCTGGGAAATTTACCTAATTTGATATGTTGCCATTTTCTTTTTATTCAACTTTTTCCCCAGATCTGGAGGAAAAAACATAGAAAGTGAAACGTTTAAAAAAATTGACTACAGAAAGGTTGAAATATTTTTTTGAGTGAAAAAAGCTATTTTAATTAGCAATATCTTCATCCCTTATTTTGAATTTAATTGTAATTAATGCAGATTGAGGTGTTGCCATATCTGGACAGCCATTTTGAATTTTTTACAATATAAGATAAAATAAAAGACATGTTTGGGAAAATTCACCTATTTTGCGATGTTGCCATCCTATTTATCTCTTTTACTTTTTTCTCCAGATCTGGGGAAAAATCACGGAAAGTGAGAATAACTCAAATACGTATTTACCTACGGCTTCGCATCGATGAACCTTCCAATACAGACCGCTCTGTAAGTTTAACTCCGGCGTCGGCGTCCATTGCAAGCTCAAACAAGTTATTTCCTCGACATGTTTGAGAACGTCATTGTCTGTGGGAGCTAAACCGGGAATCCATGATTGATACGCCATCGGCGAACCGTCTATCCACGAGAAGTTGTTGGAACGTGTAGCTGTAGCTCCTAACCTGTTAATAAAATCATCAATTGTGTATTAATTTTATTATTTCAGTATTTTACGTCAGGGGAATTATAAAATACTAATAAATTTGGCAACGTGGCATGAATCGTGTTTCTCGATAGTGCATACTGTGGTTTTTGCTATTTTAGTCCATCTGTAATTAATATTAATTACAATGATTTTTTCCGTGTATAAAACAGCTAAAGTTTATTAGAAATATATATTTTAAATATGACTACGTCACTGGACTTATTAATACCGAAGTTATAACAACTTTAAATTTGAAACCACCTAGTATTTGAGTTTATCCTTTACCTTGATTTTAGACAAATTCTAAAAACTGGCAACATTGTGAATAACAATAAATTATCGTTTCAGTTTTCTGATGAAAGTCGATAATCAAATAATATTTTTCAAATTAAAATATACATTCATATCTGTTTCAAATACTGTGTAATTTTGCTCCAAATAAGGTTATTTTTTACTTAATTATTTTTGTGAAAAATCTCGAGTTACGTCAAGTCATAGAGACAGGGGTTAGGAAACTGATTTCGGATGTTTTTGCTAACAGGTCTAAACTTCAAATTTTTTTATATTTGTATATTTATAGTTTGTCTAAAAGAATTGATTTTTTTGTTTGGATTTTTAATTTTTCTCATAAAATTTGTTGTTTGAAGTGTTGCCTATTTGTTTTCATTGTTTGATACAAAACTATGAACAATCTGTAACGCTGTAAAAAAGTGAACAGTAACTTGTTTTAATTAGTAGGGTTAACATATTTTGTGACAATATTTTTTGTTCTCCTAAATCCTCGTTGGACTATTTATTTATTTATTTATTTATTTTATGACCGAAACACAGTAATACTCATACTCATTATTTCAGAATACTCACCAATAAATCGCGCTGGTCCGATATTCAGGCGCCTTTCGAATGCTGGTCGTAACGAATCTCTCTTCATCAATGCTCAATACCGATGCCAGATTGGATTTCATCCCTTGACAAATCTGTTGCGAAGTATTCCACGTTACCTCCGGATAACTGACGATGAGATAGCACGAATTGTTGAACATGAAAAAACGATCGTCGGCACATTGGAAGGCTGTTAAACAGAAATTCCTCTCTAAGTACATTAATTTTGCATCGTTGAAGCTATTTTTTCTGCTCCTGTACTATAATTTAGACGCCAGTTGCATTTTTCACTTGATAAAAGTTCAAATGCACTTCTGACAAGTAAAAATGAACTTTTATATTTTTGCCATACACTGTTCCAGTGTTGCCAGTGTCAAAAAGTGATAATAGTGACTAATGAAGTAAAATATTTTTAAATATAACTTTACAAAGCAACTGATTCATATACTGTGAGTTTCAATTTATGATAGTACATAAGTTAAGTAAAAATATCCGAAAATCAGGTAAAATCTTCACAAGTGGCAACACTGTTGACATAAATACACTAGCGAACTTAGCGGATTTTTATTAAAATAAACAACAAAGGAAAAAGAGAAACACAGAAACAATGAGCGACAATTTCTCTTACGAAAACATTTACTCCTTTGGGTAATACCATAACAGGCATTGAATTATATCAAAAGATGATTGGTAGCGATAGAAAATAATTTTCAACACTCTAACTTTGATTTTTTATCCTAAGGAAAAAGTATTCTTGGACTGGTTTCGTCCTTATTTTTGTTTTGTTTTTTACATAGAACTTAGTTTGTTTTATAACCTACCGTGCTAGGAAAATAACAAAAAACTGCCATATCTTTGCCAAAAAAAGTGTTACATTTAAATTTCCAATTCTGGTCGCAACAAAATTATAAAAATAATTATTGAATCATTAAAATTGAACGCAGAATTTAAATATAAAGTCAAATAGACACGATTTCTTTGATAACAGCTAGATCTAGAACTATAATTGCATAATTACCAATGGAAACTTATTTTTAAATACCGACAAACCATCCAATACCTCGTTTATTGACATTCATACAGAAAATCGTCTTCAAATCAAGTGCATTTTTATTGCGGCAGGCACTAGATTAAAAATAGATACAATTTTTTAAAAAATACTTAGATCCTGGTCCATAATCCCATAATTACAAAAATAAACAAGTGACAAACCATCCAACACCTCGTTTAGTAACATTTATTCTCAAAATCCTCTTTAAATTAAGAGCATTTTCTTTGTGGTATACCCTAGACTCAAAATAGATACAATTTCATTAAGTAGAGCCAGATCTTGGTCTATATTCCCATAGTTATCAAAATAAACTTGGTCCCAAATACCAACAAGTCATCCAACACCTTATTAAGTAACATTTATACTCATAAGTCTCTTCAAACTAAGTGTATTCTTTTTCCGGTAGATACTAGATTAAAAATAGATATAATTTCGTTAAGAGCAGCCAGATTCTGATCTATAATCCCATAAGAAACTTGTTTTAAATTACCAACACCTCCTTTAGTAACATTTTTATTTAAAACCCTCTTAAAATCAAAAGTATTCTTTTTCCGCAGATACTAGACTAAAAATAGACACAATTTCATTAAGAGCAGCCAGATCCTAGTCTATAATCCCATAAGAAACTATAAGAAACTATAAGAAACTATAAGAACCTATAAGAAACTATAAGAAACTATAAGAAACTATAAGAAACTATAAGAAACTATAAGAAACTATAAAAAACTATAAGAAACTATAAGAAACTATAAGAAACTATAAGAAACTATTAGAAACTATAAGAAACTATAAGAAACTATAAGAAACTATAAGAAACTATAAGAAACTATAAGAAACTATAAGAAACTATAAGAAACTATAAGAAACTATAAGAAACTATAAGAAACTATAAGAAACTATAAGAAATTATAAGAAACTATAAGAAACTATAAGAAACTATAAGAAACTATAAGAAACTATAAGAAACTATAAGAAACTATAAGAAACTATAAGAAACTATAAGAAACTATAAGAAACTATAAGAAACTATAAGAAACTATAAGAAACTATAAGAAACTATAAGAAACTATAAGAAACTATAAGAAACTATAAGAAACTATAAGAAACTATAAGAAACTATAAGAAACTATAAGAAACTATAAGAAACTATAAGAAACTATAAGAAACTATAAGAAACTATAAGAAACTATAAGAAACTATAAGAAACTATAAGAAACTATAAGAAACTATAAGAAACTATAAGAAACTATAAGAAACTATAAGAAACTATAAGAAACTATAAGAAACTATAAGAAACTATAAGAAACTATAAGAAACTATAAGAAACTATAAGAAACTATAAGAAACTATAAGAAACTATAAGAAACTATAAGAAACTATAAGAAACTATAAGAAACTATAAGAAACTATAAGAAACTATAAGAAACTATAAGAAACTATAAGAAACTATAAGAAACTATAAGAAACTATAAGAAACTATAAGAAACTATAAGAAACTATAAGAAACTATAAGAAACTATAAGAAACTATAAGAAACTATAAGAAACTATAAGAAACTATAAGAAACTATAAGAAACTATAAGAAACTATAAGAAACTATAAGAAACTATAAGAAACTATAAGAAACTATAAGAAACTATAAGAAACTATAAGAAACTATAAGAAACTATAAGAAACTATAAGAAACTATAAGAAACTATAAGAAACTATAAGAAACTATAAGAAACTATAAGAAACTATAAGAAACTATAAGAAACTATAAGAAACTATAAGAAACTATAAGAAACTATAAGAAACTATAAGAAACTATAAGAAACTATAAGAAACTATAAGAAACTATAAGAAACTATAAGAAACTATAAGAAACTATAAGAAACTATAAGAAACTATAAGAAACTATAAGAAACTATAAGAAACTATAAGAAACTATAAGAAACTATAAGAAACTATAAGAAACTATAAGAAACTATAAGAAACTATAAGAAACTATAAGAAACTATAAGAAACTATAAGAAACTATAAGAAACTATAAGAAACTATAAGAAACTATAAGAAACTATAAGAAACTATAAGAAACTATAAGAAACTATAAGAAACTATAAGAAACTATAAGAAACTATAAGAAACTATAAGAAACTATAAGAAACTATAAGAAACTATAAGAAACTATAAGAAACTATAAGAAACTATAAGAAACTATAAGAAACTATAAGAAACTATAAGAAACTATAAGAAACTATAAGAAACTATAAGAAACTATAAGAAACTATAAGAAACTATAAGAAACTATAAGAAACTATAAGAAACTATAAGAAACTATAAGAAACTATAAGAAACTATAAGAAACTATAAGAAACTATAAGAAACTATAAGAAACTATAAGAAACTATAAGAAACTATAAGAAACTATAAGAAACTATAAGAAACTATAAGAAACTATAAGAAACTATAAGAAACTATAAGAAACTATAAGAAACTATAAGAAACTATAAGAAACTATAAGAAACTATAAGAAACTATAAGAAACTATAAGAAACTATAAGAAACTATAAGAAACTATAAGAAACTATAAGAAACTATAAGAAACTATAAGAAACTATAAGAAACTATAAGAAACTATAAGAAACTATAAGAAACTATAAGAAACTATAAGAAACTATAAGAAACTATAAGAAACTATAAGAAACTATAAGAAACTATAAGAAACTATAAGAAACTATAAGAAACTATAAGAAACTATAAGAAACTATAAGAAACTATAAGAAACTATAAGAAACTATAAGAAACTATAAGAAACTATAAGAAACTATAAGAAACTATAAGAAACTATAAGAAACTATAAGAAACTATAAGAAACTATAAGAAACTATAAGAAACTATAAGAAACTATAAGAAACTATAAGAAACTATAAGAAACTATAAGAAACTATAAGAAACTATAAGAAACTATAAGAAACTATAAGAAACTATAAGAAACTATAAGAAACTATAAGAAACTATAAGAAACTATAAGAAACTATAAGAAACTATAAGAAACTATAAGAAACTATAAGAAACTATAAGAAACTATAAGAAACTATAAGAAACTATAAGAAACTATAAGAAACTATAAGAAACTATAAGAAAACTATAAGAAACTATAAGAAACTATAAGAAACTATAAGAAACTATAAGAAACTATAAGAAACTATAAGAAACTATAAGAAACTATAAGAAACTATAAGAAACTATAAGAAACTATAAGAAACTATAAGAAACTATAAGAAACTATAAGAAACTATAAGAAACTATAAGAAACTATAAGAAACTATAAGAAACTATAAGAAACTATAAGAAACTATAAGAAACTATAAGAAACTATAAGAAACTATAAGAAACTATAAGAAACTATAAGAAACTATAAGAAACTATAAGAAACTATAAGAAACTATAAGAAACTATAAGAAACTATAAGAAACTATAAGAAACTATAAGAAACTATAAGAAACTATAAGAAACTATAAGAAACTATAAGAAACTATAAGAAACTATAAGAAACTATAAGAAACTATAAGAAACTATAAGAAACTATAAGAAACTATAAGAAACTATAAGAAACAATAAGAAACTATCAAATGCCGACAAACCATCCAACACTTCATTTAGTGAAATTTTTATTCAAAACTCTTCAAATCAAAACGCTAGACTAAAAAAATGTACAATCTCATTAAGAACAGTCAGATCTTGGTCCATAATTCCTTAATTACCAAAGAAAACTTGTTCTTAAAAACAAAATAATCTAATATTCTAATTTAGTAATATTTTTACTCAAATCAAGTGTATTCTTTTTCCGACAGACGCTAGACCAAAAATAGACACAATTTCGTTAGAAGCAGTCAAATTTTAGTCCATATTTCCTTAATCGCCAAAAGAAACTTCAAATACCAACAAACCATCTAACACCTCTTTTAGTAACAGTTGTACTTAAAACCTACTTAAAATCAAAGGAATTCACTTTGCGATAGCCACTAGACTAAAAATGCACTTAATTTTATTAAGAGCAGCCATATCGTGGTCTATAATCCCATAATTACAAAAAAAACTTGTTCTTAAATATCAAGTAATCTTCCAACACCTTATTTAGTAACATTTGAATTTTTTATTCAAAACCCTCCTTAAATCGAGTGCATTCTTTTTTCGACAGACACTAGACTAAAAATAGACACAATTTCATGAGAAACAGTCAAATCTTGGTCTATAATCCCTTAATTGCCAAAAGAAACTTGTTCTCAAACAAACCATCTAACACCTCGTTCAGTAACATTTATACTTAAAACCCACATCAAATCAATTGCATTCACTTTGTGGTAGACACCAGACTAAAAATGCATATAATTTTATTAAGAGCAGTCAGATCCTGGTCTACAATCACATAATTATCAAAAAAACTTGTTCTTAAATATCAAATAATCTTCCAATGCTTCATTTAGTAACATTTTTATTTTTTATTCAAAACCCTTCTTCAATTAAGTGTATTCTTTTTCCGACAGACAGACATTAAATTAAAAATAGACACAATTTCACTAGGAGCAGCCAAATGTTGGTCTATAATCCCTTAATTGCCAAAAGAAACTTGTTCTCAAATACCAACAAACCATCTAACACCTCGTTTAGTAACCTTTATACTTAAACCCCACTTCAAATCAAATGCATTCTTTTTGCGGTAGACACTAGACTAAAAATGCACACAATTTTATTAAGAGCAGCCAGATATTGGTCTACAATCCCAAACTTGTTCTTAAATACCAAATAATCTTCCACCTTATTTAGTAAAATTTTTTTTTTTTATTCAAAACCCTTAAATTAAGTGTATTCTTTTTCTGACAGACACTATATAGACTAAAAATAGATAAAATTTCATTAGGAGCAGCCAAATCTTGGTCTATAATTCCTTAATTGCCAAAAGAAACTTGTTCTCAAATACCAACAAACCATCTAACACCTCGTTTTGTAAAATTTATACTTCAAATCCACTTCAAATCAAATGCATTCACTTTACGATAGACAGTAGACTAAAAATGCACACAATTTTATTAAGAACAGCCAGATCCTGGTCTACAATCCCATAATTACCAAAAAAAACTTGTTCTCAAACACCGACAAACCATCCAATACTTCGTTTAGTAACATTTTTACTAAAAACCCTCTTTAAATCAAGTATATTATTTTTCCGGCAGACTAGAAATAGACACAATTTCATTAAGAAAAGTCAGATCTTGATCTATAATCCCTTAATTGCCCGAAGAAACTTGTTCTTAAATACCGAATACGTCTCATTTAATAACATTTTTACTCAAAACCATCTTTAAAACAAGTGTATTCTTTTTCCGGCAGACACTAGACTAAAACTAAACACAATTTCATTAAAAGCGGCAAAATCTTGGTCAAAAATCCCATTATTACCAAAATAAACTTGTTGTTAAATAACAACAAACATTTATGCTTATAACCCTCTTCAAATGAAATGTATTCTCTTAACGGTAGACATTAGACTAAAAATATACACAATTTTATTAAAAGCAGCCAGATCCTGGTCTATAATCCCATAATTATCAGAAGAAATTTATTCTGAAAGACCCACAAACAAACCAACACCTCGTTTAGTAACGTTTACATTCAAAACCCTCTTTAAACCAGGCGAATTTTCTTTGCAGCAGACAATAGACTCAAAACTGACACAATTTCATTAAGAGCAACCAGCCTATAATCTCATAATTAACACAAAAAAAAACTACAAACAATCCAACACCTCGTTTAGTAACATTTATACTCAAAACCCCACTTCAAATCGAGTGCATTATCTTCACGGCAGCCACTAGACTCCGGAGAACTCCATAAAGAAACTTCAAAGCCGTGCTTACCGTTTTCGATGGAGACGCGGATTTTAAATCCACCGAAATGGTGCGAATAATCAGAGTTGAATCTTAATTTGAGCTTGGAGGAGCGACTGACGTATCGCAACAGTTTCAGTTTGGAGCTCCAATCGCCGCACAGTCGTTGACTTTGCGCTGGATCCGGCGTTGGAGGCGAGGCGGATTCGTTCCAGGGCATTTCCAGGATTTGGAGGTAGTCGTAACTGCATCTAAACACATAACGGTAAAAATTTGATAATTTATGCTATAAGAAATAAGAAAAAAAGAGTTTATATTAATCATTCCAGAGGTAATTGTAAATTTTTTTGGAAATATCTAAAGAATTCGTTTCCTGTTAAGCTTAATAATCAAGAATAATTATTTATTAATAATTGCGTCCAAATTCTATCCTATGATCCAAAGTAATCGAAAAAAATAATGAAATTTCAATTAAATATGAATTTTTAAAATAGTCATATACTTTCAAGTTTTTGTTTTGGCTATGCTATAACTCTACTTGATGTCACTGACGATCTTTTCAGGGATATTGATGCTAAAAACAGCCTAAATATTTAAAAGCATTTGATAATATTATTCATAAAGTTTTACTCTCAATATTACATTTTATTGGTTGCTCTAATGATGCTATTAGAATTTTTAATAGCTACATTAAAAACAGAAAGCAATTTTTAGTTACTGAGGCACATTTATTAAATACAAAGCTGATTTCAGTGGAGTTTCTTAAGGATCAATACTATTAATATTAATAAACAATTCCAACGTTGGGAATCGTATAAAGAATGGTAAGCCACTGGTGTTGTTACGAAAACATATTTTACATATTTCTATGAATACTATTAACAAGCGAAACCAAAACCAAAATGGATAAATCCATAAACAAGTCCACTGTCAACGTGTCAAGTGCAGTTTTTGAAACGTGAAAACCTTTTGCGCCGTATTTTGTATCAAATTTATTAAAAAAATAGAACAACTTTTAAATATTTAAATATTTTTTTAAGTAAATAAATTTAGCACTGAATTTCCTGTTTGTAATTTAAAAGACTGAGTCCCCTACCTGTGCATTGTATTAAGAATACTATTAATTTTTAAAATTTTAGATTTAACTTTAGTACTTTAAATTAAAATTCCTATTTTATGGAATTAACATAGTTATGCTTTTTGCACGACCTTTAACGAATTCTAGAATGGAACTCTTATCTGACTTTGATATTAGGATTAAAAAGGTATATTCTCCAAATTTTTTCTTTACATGGAGCAAAGATCCCAAATAAATTTATCAAGCGAGGTTAAGGGGTAAAAAGACTCAAATATATTAACACAGACAATCGTAATTAGTAAAGGAATTAAATATTTTACAAGTTTAAGGTAAAAAAAAGACCAAATATATTCTTACATGGCTAGGCGTAAGGGGTAAAATATAAAAAAGAATTGGGTAGTAGAAGAACCGATAATTGGAACAATCTCTTGGGGCTGAGAGAGGCCAAGATACTTCTGGGTGAATATAACCAAAAAAGATCGGAAGCCTGCATCTGCCTGAGCAAGAACAGGCTACGCATTGTAACAGGGATCCTTACCGGGCACTGCCGACTAAAAGGACACCTAAGTAAACTGAGAGTAGTAGAGGATAGTGAGTGCAGATTCTGTGAGGAGGAGGACGAAACCTCCATTCGCATCCTAACTGAATGTGTAGCACTCCAGAATCCAAGGGCACTATATCTAGGAGGATTTCAAATAGAAGAGGGAGACTTACCTAACTTGAAGCCACTTCAAATCCTACACTTCCTTGAGAAAATAGGATTGGAAGGGTCGCTATAGGCATTGAGACATTTCCTTAGTGCAGTGGCGACAGAAGAAGGGCACAATAGATCTTTTAGGTCGCAGTGTATTAACACCCCATTATCAACATAACATAACAAGGGGTAAAATAGCAAATTGGTATTACATAAATGTAAGAGGTAAAGGTGTAAGGGGTAAAAGGACATGGGCAGGATTTTTGAAATTGTGGTTGTTGTATATAATTAAAATATTTTTGAATTAAATAACAGAGTGATGATTAAAGGTAAAAAGAAAAACACAAATTGCATTGTTGTAGATTATTGGCAGTCGTGATTGGTAAAGGTACTAAATATTTTGATATGGACAGGCTTAAAGTACAAATAAGCCAAATATTGGTTTATGGATAGACGAAAGGGGTAATAACATAACCAAATATTTTCACATGGACAGGATTAAAGAGTAAAGGTACTAAATACTCTTATATAGATAGATTTAAGGGGCAAAGGCCCCATATATTTTTACATGGGTAGGCTTGAGAGATAAAGGGACCAAATATTTTTACAGAATTTAAATAAATAGTTGTTTTAGAATTTTAAAATATGTTTTGTGTGAAATTGGATTTTTTGACCAGAAACTTTGTCCATTATCCGATTTATTTTTTTTTGTTATTTTTTGTGAGAAATGAGATATATGTTAATATTTAAATATTATTTATACATTTGTACCTTTAGCGTAATTTTATCACTTACATTTTATATTTATGAGTTAATCTTTTTTGCATTGTTTTGTCTTTTTCTGTATATACTATCTTTTTTGCTTAGGGATCGATCAAAGCATTTTTTGGACATACACATGTAGACAATGGATAATTAGGTTGACAATTGGGCTTAGAACACAGATATGTTTATTTTCGTTTTTGTTTTGTTCTTGTTTTGTTTTTTTCTCTTTTTTGTTTTGTCCTTTTTTGTTTTGTCCTTTTTTGTTTTGTTCTTTTTTGTTTTGTTCGTTTTGTTCGTTTTGTTTTTTTTAAGTTTATTTTTTGTATATTTTTTGTTTGGTTTTGTTTTTTAATTGTTTATTTGTTTTCGGTTTGTTTTTTGTTTATTTTTGTTCGTTTTGTTTGTTTTCATTTGTTCTCATTTGTTTTCATTTGTTTTCATTTGTTTTCATTTGTTTTCATTTGTTTTCATTTGTTTTCATTTGTTTTCATTTGTTTTCATTTGTTTTCATTTGTTTTCATTTGTTTTCATTTGTTTTCATTTGTTTTCATTTGTTTTCATTTGTTTTCATTTGTTTTCATTTGTTTTCATTTGTTTTCATTTGTTTTCATTTGTTTTCATTTGTTTTCATTTGTTTTCATTTGTTTTCATTTGTTTTCATTTGTTTTCATTTGTTTTCATTTGTTTTCATTTGTTTTCATTTGTTTTCATTTGTTTTCATTTGTTTTCATTTGTTTTCATTTGTTTTCATTTGTTTTCATTTGTTTTCATTTGTTTTTATTTTTTTCTATTTGTTTTTATTTGTCTTTATTTGTTTTTATTTGTTTTTATTTGTTTTTACTTGTTTTTATTTGTCTTTATTTGTTTTTATTTGTTTTTATTCGTTTTTATTTGTTTTTATTTGTTTTTATTTGTTTTTATTTATTTTTATTTATTTTTATTTGTTTTTATTTGTTTTTATTTGTTTTTTTTTGTTTTTATTTGTTTTTATTTGTTTTTATTTGTTTTTATTTGTTTTTATTTGTTTTTATTTGTTTTTATTTGTTTTTATTTGTTTTTATTTGTTTTTATTTGTTTTTATTTGTTTTTATTTGTTTTTATTTGTTTTTATTTGTTTTTATTTGTTTTTATTTGTTTTTATTTGTTTTTATTTGTTTTTATTTGTTTTTATTTGTTTTTATTTGTTTTTATTTGTTTTTATTTGTTTTTATTTGTTTTTATTTGTTTTTATTTGTTTTTATTTGTTTTTATTTGTTTTTATTTGTTTTTATTTGTTTTTATTTGTTTTTATTTGTTTTTATTTGTTTTTATTTGTTTTTATTTGTTTTTATTTGTTTTTATTTGTTTTTATTTGTTTTTATTTGTTTTTATTTGTTTTTATTTGTTTTTATTTGTTTTTATTTGTTTTTATTTGTTTTTATTTGTTTTTATTTGTTTTTATTTGTTTTTATTTGTTTTTATTTGTTTTTATTTGTTTTTATTTGTTTTTATTTGTTTTTATTTGTTTTTATTTGTTTTTATTTGTTTTTATTTGTTTTTATTTGTTTTTATTTGTTTTTATTTGTTTTTATTTGTTTTTATTTGTTTTTATTTGTTTTTATTTGTTTTTATTTGTTTTTATTTGTTTTTATTTGTTTTTATTTGTTTTTATTTGTTTTTATTTGTTTTTATTTGTTTTTATTTGTTTTTATTTGTTTTTATTTGTTTTTATTTGTTTTTATTTGTTTTTATTTGTTTTTATTTGTTTTTATTTGTTTTTATTTGTTTTTATTTGTTTTTATTTGTTTTTATTTGTTTTTATTTGTTTTTATTTGTTTTTATTTGTTTTTATTTGTTTTTATTTGTTTTTATTTGTTTTTATTTGTTTTTATTTGTTTTTATTTGTTTTTATTTGTTTTTATTTGTTTTTATTTGTTTTTATTTGTTTTTATTTGTTTTTTTTGTTTTTATTTGTTTTTATTTGTTTTTATTTGTTTTTATTTGTTTTTATTTGTTTTTATTTGTTTTTATTTGTTTTTATTTGTTTTTATTTGTTTTTATTTGTTTTTATTTGTTTTTATTTGTTTTTATTTGTTTTTATTTGTTTTTATTTGTTTTTATTTGTTTTTATTTGTTTTTATTTGTTTTTATTTGTTTTTATTTGTTTTTATTTGTTTTTATTTGTTTTTATTTGTTTTTATTTGTTTTTATTTGTTTTTATTTGTTTTTATTTGTTTTTATTTGTTTTTATTTGTTTTTATTTGTTTTTATTTGTTTTTATTTGTTTTTATTTGTTTTTATTTGTTTTTATTTGTTTTTATTTGTTTTTATTTGTTTTTATTTGTTTTTATTTGTTTTTATTTGTTTTTATTTGTTTTTATTTGTTTTTATTTGTTTTTATTTGTTTTTATTTGTTTTTATTTGTTTTTATTTGTTTTTATTTGTTTTTATTTGTTTTTATTTGTTTTTATTGTTTTTATTTGTTTTTATTTGTTTTTATTTGTTTTTATTTGTTTTTATTTGTTTTTATTTGTTTTTATTTGTTTTTATTTGTTTTTATTTGTTTTTATTTGTTTTTATTTGTTTTTATTTGTTTTTATTTGTTTTTATTTGTTTTTATTTGTTTTTATTTGTTTTTATTTGTTTTTATTTGTTTTTATTTGTTTTTATTTGTTTTTATTTGTTTTTATTTGTTTTTATTTGTTTTTATTTGTTTTTATTTGTTTTTATTTGTTTTTATTTGTTTTTATTTGTTTTTATTTGTTTTTATTTGTTTTTATTTGTTTTTATTTGTTTTTATTTGTTTTTATTTGTTTTTATTTGTTTTTATTTGTTTTTATTTGTTTTTATTTGTTTTTATTTGTTTTTATTTGTTTTTATTTGTTTTTATTTGTTTTTATTTGTTTTTATTTGTTTTTATTTGTTTTTATTTGTTTTTATTTGTTTTTATTTGTTTTTATTTGTTTTTATTTGTTTTTATTTGTTTTTATTTGTTTTTATTTGTTTTTATTTGTTTTTATTTGTTTTTATTTGTTTTTATTTGTTTTTATTTGTTTTTATTTGTTTTTATTTGTTTTTATTTGTTTTTATTTGTTTTTATTTGTTTTTATTTGTTTTTATTTGTTTTTATTTGTTTTTATTTGTTTTTATTTGTTTTTATTTGTTTTTATTTGTTTTTATTTGTTTTTATTTGTTTTTATTTGTTTTTATTTGTTTTTATTTGTTTTTATTTGTTTTTATTTGTTTTTATTTGTTTTTATTTGTTTTTATTTGTTTTTATTTGTTTTTATTTGTTTTTATTTGTTTTTATTTGTTTTTATTTGTTTTTATTTGTTTTTATTTGTTTTTATTTGTTTTTATTTGTTTTTATTTGTTTTTATTTGTTTTTATTTGTTTTTATTTGTTTTTATTTGTTTTTATTTGTTTTTATTTGTTTTTATTTGTTTTTATTTGTTTTTATTTGTTTTTATTTGTTTTTATTTGTTTTTATTTGTTTTTATTTGTTTTTATTTGTTTTTATTTGTTTTTATTTGTTTTTATTTGTTTTTATTTGTTTTTATTTGTTTTTATTTGTTTTTATTTGTTTTTATTTGTTTTTATTTGTTTTTATTTGTTTTTATTTGTTTTTATTTGTTTTTATTTGTTTTTATTTGTTTTTATTTGTTTTTTTGTTTTTATTTGTTTTTATTTGTTTCTTATTTGTTTCTTATTTGTTTCTTATTTGTTTCTTATTTGTTTATTATTTGTTTTTTTGTTTTTATTTGTTTTTTATTTGTTTTTATTTATTTGTTTTTATTTATTTGTTTTTCATTAATTTTTTGTTTTTTAATTGTGTTTGTTTGTTTTTTATTTTTCCTCTTCTTCTTTTTTTCTCTAAAAATGTGGAAAGCTTCTCACGATTTTGCGAGAAAAAATATGTTAATATTGTGTTGTGAGATAACAAAAATATTGATAACAGCTATACATTTTGAAATGGTTTTGTAAGAAATAATAACTTACGATGGTTCGTTTTCTAGCACTAATTCTTCGAAATCTAAAATAATCTTATATCCAGGAGACGCTGCTATATCTATATCACAATTTGCGTTATCTGGATATTGGCGCGGAAAGCCCGGACTGGAAACTGAAGCTCTTGGTTGATCCCTGGATAGTATAATTGTTCTATTACAATTCGGCAACCAACGATCGTCCACTCGTTCTGAAAAATATAACTTTTAAACGAAATACACGTTTACAGCAAATAACAAATGAACATTTCGAAAAATTCTCGAAAATGGTGTGCCTAACTGTTAGGAAAAACACCTATTTTAACAATTTTATGTCTGAATTATCACAAACTCAAATGTAAAGAAAATAATAATTTATAATTGCCGTTGTCCCCTCAAATGAAACGTGTATGACCATCATAATAATAAAAATATTAAGTTTTAAGTACTAACTGACATATTTTTTGAAAACCTAATTGGTTTTGAAATAAATAATAGAAATAATAAGCATAACCTATGAAGGACAGCTCCTTGAAAAATTTTGGAGGAATTGTAACTTCGGGGGCACCATGTCTCCTAGAGCCACCCTTGTTACCTAAATACATTTAATTAAAACACAGAACTGTTCAAAATATTCAACAAGTCAAATCATGTTTCAATTAACTAGTAGATAGGCAATTTAAATTGCAAAGACGTATTTTGTGTTGCATATACTTAACATCAAAAATACTGCATAATATCCAACACAAAATGAATTTTTATTTCCTGATTTGAATTAAATAAAAAAAGGTCATTTTATGGTTTTATCTATTAGGTATAGGTATTTATTAATAAACAAACTCATAAATATGGATGGTTATTATTCACAAGAGTTTCGACACGAATCGCGAGTTCACCCGTAAGAATAATAGCTATTATGAGAGTTTAGAATACTATACTTAGTCTACGACTTACCTACTTTTATTTAATTCAAATTTTTGTGGAACCTTAATTGAATTAACTTGTAAATTATTTGTTGAACTAATTTGATGGGCATAAGCAGTTGAATTATTTAGTTACATGGTGTTTGATATTTTTTATGTAGTCATTAGCAGCTTCTGCAGAGTAAGTATACTAGTTTTTTTTTAGATAGAAAACTTCAATTTTGTGTTTTAATAATTCTTGTACTTCATTACATTAATTAATTAAATTAATTACATTTTGAAAATATGTAATAAAACATTTATAAATAAATTTAAAAACGTTATATTGTAAAATGAACCATTTTTAATTGCGTCATTGTTCTTGTTAAAAGTGATGAAAAATACACCTATTATAATAATGAATATTTACCGTCAATTTGCAATCGTTCGCAAATAAAGTAATTGGGTGTCGAACAGTCTCTGTCATTCCACATGAACGTGCTAGCCAGTCGAGCATTAGAAGCGGGAAGAGGATAGAATCTTCTAATTTCGACGCAATCCTGATCGCTGAGACCATCATCGTTCGGCTGTTTATTGTAGTAGTTGTGCTGCGCCCATCCTGGAAACCAATCTGCAAGCAACCCAAAAAAAGTAAATTTAGGTTAAGTGAGAATACATTGTTAATATAAATTTTAAACGAATTGAACCTAATACAGTGCCCTGAGGTACACCACACTTAACCGTTTCATAATTATTGACATCATATATTCTGACGATCTGACTTCTCTAAAATACTTTAAGTAATTGCCACTTATTCCAATATGTCGTCTTAAATATTGTAAAAGTAAGTCATGGCTGACTGTATTAAACGTCTCGTTTAAAAAAAAATTATTTTAAAATCTATTTCGCAGATCCTCCTTGCAATTTTCTTCACTTTACAGGGTTCTTGTTTAAAAAAGTATGGAGAAAGGTATAAAGATGTTCGAAGACGCGACTTAATTTAACATAATTCGATAAGCTGACGACGTCGACGACGACCAAGCGACGCTAGCAGCGAATTTAATGCAATTAGGCGCAAAATTAATTTCTGTAAGTAGTTCGGCGTGACTGAACTGAAGTTTCCAGAACAATGTTTCAGTTATTATGTTTGGTGTAGCATATTAAAAACAAGAGTAGATATACCAGAGGTCTTGCTAGTGATCCTGGTTAATTTATTTTGAGTGTACTAGCTTGTTATTAATGTTATTACATTATTTGCGATATTCAAAGACTGTAAATTATTAAGTTCAATTGAATTGTATTTATTTTAAAGGGCTCCGGTGAAATATCCTGTATTTTAAGTATTTTTCAGTTTTTTAACTTCCAAAATAATAGTATCCATTCAATCCTGTGACCGTTATTCATAAAATTGTTTTTTTTTTAAACAATATAAACAGATGTTCATAAAACTGCGTTTTACTCCTCTAATATTAAGTTATTTTTAAGGTAAGAGCTCCTAAACTTACACAAATTTAAAATCTCAACTATTGTATAATTCACATTATAAATCTGCTAATAAGATCGTTTGTAGTCAAAAAGAGAATAGGCGGTAAATGTAAATAGCTTGATTGTAAAGACAACTATTGGTTGAACCAATCAAAACCACCTAGAAATGAATATGTCGCTTCTGTTCTTACCAAAGAACAATCAGGACAATGTACTATGATTGAAGTAAAATTGTTTAAGAATGCCTTTAATGCTTATTTTTAATTTTTTTTATCAAAACTCCTTATCATACATTTGTGCACCCAAACTCATATATTTATTTTGTTATTTTCATAACTATCGCATTCAGGATTTGTATACACCATTTCTAAAACACTCCATTGTGTAAACAACAGATTTTATTATCAAGTAAGTTTAAAAAATAAATTTTAACTTAGCACCTGTTACTTCGAATGAAACCGTACTCCAGTAAATTTACTAAAATTTACTGAATCGCCGACAGCCGAAACTTTCACGGGCAGGATAATTAACTGGACAATTCCACACAATGCCTTTCCGTCGGTTTTAAACTGACGCTTTGCAAATCCGTGTAGGCGACCGTAATGCGATAGATAAGCAACTCGAACTTGGTTAGGAATTTTAAACTTTTCAGACCACAATGTCTTTTATTCCAAAATACAAAGAATTAATATCTTTTTATGTTTAATTTTTATGTGTAAATATCTCGTTTATTTGTACATATTTTTTTAAAAAATAACAAAGAACTGTATTAAGCAATTTCTAACAAGTAATTTGAAATGGGGATGTAGAAAAGCAAAAATATCATATATTATTTTTAAATTAGCTATTTTATTTCAATAAAATGATTTTTCATATCCACTCCTCGTGTTGCACAAACTACTATTTAGTATTGTCCTATTTTTCTTCATTAGTAAAAAAATGCTTAAATAGTTTATATTTTTTTTCTGGATTATTTCGCCACAAATTGCAATAAGTTCATTAGTTCGAGAAGAAAACGAATAATATCAACGTTGCCAACGGCCTGGCTGCATTGGGATTGTGGGTATATCTGTCGTTGTGTGCCTATTCTTAATTCACATCACACAGCACAGAGCGCAGGCAGATAGCACAATACACACAGACGGTCAACGGTGCATACTCGAGAGTTATCTCCAAGCAGCCAAGCGCCCGTTTACTGGCAACGTTGTTATTGCTTGAATAAACTAATAATAAAAAAGTTTCTTAATTGTGGTCAACTTTAAGGGACACATTCATAGACACCGCTACACGAGGGCAAGCGCCCTTGATTTCCAATTTTGGATTTATCGCTATGGCTCTCGTCTATAGCCTGCGGCATTTTGAACTTGCCTATAAGACTTGCCCCCCAGCAATTTTTTGGTTGGCGCCCATGAACACATTGTTTATTGACAATATGAAAAACATTTGTTTTAAGTTTCTGCTAATCACAGTATTAATTATAGTCTATTTTTATGTATGAGAGAGTATTAAAATAATAAAGAGTTCGTAATCCATAGGCGTATCACTTCTTTTAGTAGACAGTTAAAATATTTTTTGAAGTTATTCCTCGAGTATACACTTATATTTTCACCTAATTAACCTGCTTATAACTTCTAAACAGCTGAAGGTAAAAAAGTGCAATTTTTTCTAAAATGTTTTATTTTTCCACAAGGTATGTTAAGAACATTGTGTCAAACGGGTTATGTAGGTATAAAGTTTGACTTTTAAACAACGTTACGTTCATAAATAATAATTTTAATATAAAAACTACTTCTTACCTACAAATCCAAATCAGAATCGAAATCAGAAGATGAACTGTCGCAATCAATATTTACAATGAGTGGCTCGATCATTTCATAATATTATCCAACTTCCACATTTTCTCTTCTTCTTTAATCGTATGATTTACTGCCTTTTCCCAGTTTTCAGGCTTCACATTATTTACAGCCTCCAAAAACAACTGTTTAACATCACTCATTTTAAAAGAATTGTTTTTTCTTGAAACTTCTCCCTTTATCTGTGCCCATATCAGTTCTATCGGGTTTACTTCGCAATGATATGGTGGTGATCTAACCACCGTCATCCCACGATTTTTTGCAATTTCATCAATTTCATATTTTTTGAATTTCTCTTTATGAAGGGAACACAAATGATACAGTTCTTTTCTCACAGAACCGGGATGGAACTTAATATTCTTTGAATTTAGCCAATTCTGTAAATCTTTTTTTAACCACTTGGTTGTGGGCATTTTTTCTATAAGTCTCGAGCGATAACTTGCATTATCCATTACTATTATACAGTTCTGAGGAAGAAGATCTATAATTTGTTCAAACCACTCTTTAAAGACATCAGCATTCATGTCCTCATGGTAGGCACCGGTACGAGTAGATTCAAAAGTCAATAAACCACCTTTAACAAAACCGTTTGAACTACCGATGTGTACTATTATTAGTCTGCGCCCCTTTCCTGATGGTGGATTTAAACCAGTAGATAAATTATTTAAAAAAGCCTGTCTTCGACTTGTAACAGTTTCTTCGTGCCAAAATTTATTTGGTTTATGTCCCTCGTTGATCCATGTTTCATCTAAATAAAATATATTTCTTCTTTGGTTTCTCATTTCTTTTATAGTCCTTAGGTAATTTCTTCTCTATACTATAATATCGCTTCTTTCTATTAAAATAGACTTTCTGGAATACTTTTTCCATAGAAAATCTATTTCTTTTAAAAGTTTCCATAGTGTGCTTCGACTCATTTCAGGGTAATCCTTATCATCTCGAACCGTGGCAAGAACTTTGTCTACTGTCGGAAATTCTTTTCTAAAGAAGAACGCATGCACTTTCCTTCGAAGTCTTTCTTTCAAAAGATTTTCTAATTGAAATTTTGGTTTTCCTGGAGCTTTACGTGCTGTTTGAAACTCGCCACATTTCTCTTCTTTAACAACTCTGTAAATCGTAGATTTCCCAACACCAAGCGTACTACTAACTAATTCCACTGTGTCATAAACACTTTTACATAAATGTTTGTCTGTAAATGATTTAAAACAATTAAATATTAATGTTTTTTCATTAACTGTTAAAGGACCGATTTTCTGTCGTTTACGCGGCCCTTCTGAATTTTCCATGATCACACTAGAATTCACACTGCACCTTGCAAGTTGCAACTAAACGACATTTAGTAAACTGTCAAGAATACACAACTTGGACCTCCTTAATAAATGGAAAACCTATAATCGCATTTTCGGTGAAATTTGTTGGGAAGGTATTTATCTACTTATAATTCGATTACTGTAAGAAATTCTTGGAATTAAAATAAAACAAAATTGGCAAATAGGTACTTATTGAAAATAATCTTAAGATACGGCTATGTAATCTTTAATAAACAGGGCTTTTGGCCTGTCCAAACCTTTTTCTATTGTTCTGTACAGCTTATGTTTACAAAGGACCAATAAAAGACCCAAAACTTGTAATAGCTCAGGTACATTTATTACAATTTTAGGAAATATTTAGATTATTCTGTAAAAATATTTAAAATTACCGTACTAAGTTTTGCATTAGAAATGCTGTTTTATTACTCTCTCATACATAAAAATAGACTATAGACGCCTGATATAATATATATTACGTAATTTTATTGTATATGACAATTACGAAAAACGTCACTGTTACAAGTATTAGAAATTAAAAATTAAAAAAAACCGACTTCAAAAACGTGCAGATGCCATCACCACATCTTAACCAAACTTATATGGGACCACCCTTGAGGTACCCCCTTACTAACAAAAAAAAGAATCGTATAAATCGGACAAGATGGTAAAGCATTATCGCTAAACATACATAAAAAATTCGAGTTTAAGGATTTTCTCATGGATTCAATTATTAGATTTTGACCAAGTTTATATGGGACCACCACTGAAGTACCCCCTTTCTAACAGAAAAAGAATCATTGAAATCGGACACCGTGTTAAAGAATTATCGCTTAACATACATTAAAAAAAAATATTGAGACGAATTTAGTAGATTCCGCCTTTTTTGAAGTCGGTTGAAAATTTTAAATAATCCTTGTATTAAAATCAAAATGGTCTTGAATGAAATGTCGAAATTAAATCGCTAAAACGCTAAGCGATCATAA